GATCTGGAGAAGAGCGGACTTATGAAGAATTTGTAAAACAAAAACCAAGCGTGCTTCTCAGCGAAGACTTGTTGAGCGAAATGCTTGTTGGAAACCGGAACTAATCTGTAACTATTTTTGTAACGGAGACATTTATTTAAATAGGGCTTTTCCTTTCCATCATTACACTCAATTTTTCACTTGAGCTTTAGGAAATTTGCAAAATATAACCATACAATCGCAACAAATTTATTCCATTTGCTTACAGTCTGTCTTCCTCTCGTTATTATCTTCATTCGAAACCGTTGGAGTGACACATTCATAAAATCTATTTGTTTCACTTATGGCTTTTTTTTCAGGATTTCTTCTGGACTTCGTCCACCAATGTTTGGTACCGAGAGGTTTAGTGGTAGCTGCGTCAGTGGAGAGCATCAGCGATACAGATGGTGATGACGGAATTGGTCAGTAACTTTTTTGTTTTTCTTTCTTTTTCAAATTTTTTTTTCAAAAGTTTTCAAACAGCAGCCGAAGCGATGCACAACCCCCGAACAACTTTGTGAATAATGAGGAAGAGACAAGGAAACAAGTGAAAAAAGCGCTGGGATCCACACAATATGTGAAGGTGGATAATATAAAAAATTGGTGTTAACACATTTCGCTTCTTCTTAATTTTTTTCGGCATAATGCTGTTGCTTATGAGAAATCTTGGAAAATTTAGGAAAGATACTTCTTGCGCTATCAGCAGTTAGCATCACCTAGGACGATCGACATGGAGAGATTCATGAAATCAACCCAGATATTCGGCGTGAACGATGTTCGTAGTGGCAGTGTTCTAAGGCATTCACGGTGGTCAGGATTTCAGCAATTACGTTGAAATGTTTGTGCTTTAGAAAACGTTGTCAGGTTAATTTACATTGAAATTTAGAACATTTTTCGAGTAAGCGCATTCGTAGCGCAAACAGCTCGGTGGTTTTCTTCTTACATGACAAGTACTATTGAATTGTCCCGACGTAATAGTGGTGTTTTAAGTACAATAAGGAAGCAGTTGAAGATTTTACTTAGAATGCTAATGCAAGCGTGCGGCTTGATCACAGTTCTCCGTCAATCAACACCTATGAACTTTTCGCTTATTCCAATTTCATACAGTCCACCTGCATTTGTTCTTTCCTTCTTAATAGACTATTAGGTAGTCTATATTAATTTTTTATTTGCTGCCTAGTACAGTTTTTCATACCAAAGTATTACGCGAAATACAACCACAATGGTGCTAAGATATTTGCAAACCCGGACCGCAGGTGCTTGCGGTGGGAAACGAACGCGCTATTACCCTTTCTGGGGGCTAACGAGTTTACCAGCACACCATGTGGGTCCTCCGTTTCGCTTGTCTTTCAGCTGATTCTATCGATCAGTGCCATTAGCAATCGCCCGTCAACGGGAATGATCTGTGCGGCCCAAATCGGCATTGAACCCAGTTAAACTGTGGATGTAGTTGAAATTGCTTATACGGGTGATTGCTGATAGCGCCTATAAAGGCTGGGAGACAGGCGAAACGAAAAACTCGCATAGTGTGGTGGAGAACGCGTTAGTCCCCGGAAAGGGTATTACCCTTCGTTCGCTACCTAGACACCTGCTGTCTGGAGTTTTGCAAATATCTCAGCACCATTGTGGTGATTACATAGGCTCTCTGTAAAAATACTTATAGTAGGTTTTTTTTTGAGAAGATGGCTCACTGAAGAAGACCTGACTCGACAAGAAGGCGAAGCTGCAACGTCGAGACGGACAACAATCATGGACCATCGACTCGGATCATCGGCTCTGAGGAAGACGAAGACGTCGAAACATTAGCCGAAAATAAATATATTTATCAACCTCGTGCAAGCTTATCAAAAAAGAATGCATACTTATAATAGGCTTTTATAATTGAGTTCTTTCATCGAAGTTTTTTAAAATGGGTTTGTCTTTTCTGTATTAAGAGAGCACCAATTATCATTTCTCTTCTGCAAAAAACTCCAATTCTTTGCTTTACAAGACCAGAATTCGTTACGCCCCATCTAGTCGGCATTTTAACACTTTGATTTTAAGTGATTTAATGTCAGATAACTACTAAATTAAAACTCTTAGGATTTGTGCACGGGTTCGATCCATGAGGATTTTGCTTCTCTTGTGAATATCGTTGAATCTTGGTGGAGTTGGTTCTTCATGGAATCTTGGAATAGCGCTAATAGAGCGTTCATAGGTCTTCAGCATGGGCGGCCGCCAACACTTGTGGATCAGCAGTACCATCCCAAGCAAGTCTCGTACTAATTTGTCGGCCTCAGAGGGATGAAAGGCCGAGCTCATTCCAAGGTGGTCGAACCAGAGACCATGCGTGTGTCATTTCACGTCATCCCAAACCATTGCGCATACAGCGCACTCCGTAGGTTTAGATTCCAACAATTTACTCTGACCTTTGTGCAGTTGAATGCTGCTAAAGACATTGCACCAGATGATCAACGTTGACATAAAGTTCACCATCGATTCTTCCTATGCATCTTGTTATGTTATGTGTACAAAATTCTTCGATGTACTCATGGTAAATGTGTTCATCTAAAAGGATGATCAAGAACTTGTGTCCACAATGATAACTACACTAATGCGAAGTTATGTTCTCCTTGACGTGAATTGTTTCACTGACAGAGATGACTCTAATGCAGTTTTCGATAACCTGACTACTTTAGGTTTTCGCGAAAACTCTGTTAGTCTTTAACCTTCAACAGATCATCTTAACTTAAAAAAGGGAATTCCGATGCAAGTTTACAGATCAAAAAACCGGATAACGTTTCCTTCATGAAAACAGCTTGTATTCTGTAAAGATTTGTAGGGATTTAAACGACATGTACCAGAATTTATCGGCACAGAATATTATCAATAGCGATTCATTTTCATGAACATCATCAGTGAACAATTACATCTGTTGTCGTTGTAACGAAAAAACGATTACTACTACTATAAAGCTAGAAAGCTATTGGTGTTGAACAATCCCTGAGGGATGCGCTATGCATTCGACTTCATTAAGCATCGTTCGGAGGTGATTGAATGCATATCCGGCCTTTACAATGACTCGTGGTGGCCTACCGATGCATCGAGCCAGTACTGCTATCCTCCCAGACAAGTCTGGCACCAAGTTGCAGACCCCGGAGGGATGGAAGGCTTGATGGGCCAGGGGCGCTGGAGTCGATGTCATATGTATTGCAGGGCGCCTCCGACCAGTGCGCCACGCGTGCCCATACAACTATCATATTCCTCCAAGTTCACAATGAAGGTCTTCATGATCTGGAACCGGAGACAAAGATCTGCTGTAGTTCAAGATTGAAAAGAAAAAGGTGCTAAATTGCAAGTGCTTTGAACGCTTTCATACTGTCTTTGAGTTTGCTTAAGGTCAATATAAAAGCCGATGAATACGATGTGGATAGAGAAGGAAAAAAATCGATGAACCACTTAGAAACCGTCTTTCATTTAATCTTGGTGTTAATAATCAGTGTTTTTTTTGTGGACCATAGAGTCGGATCATAGGCTCTGATGAAGACGAAACCGTCGAAACCTTAGCCGAAAATAAAGAATTTTGATCAATCTCGTGCAAGCTTATCAAAGAAAGGACGCATATTAATCAGCGTTTTGCTTCGCTCAGAAACTAACACCAACTTGTTTTGAAACTTTTTCGACTCTTGTTTGTGAGTCTTAGCCTTCTTCAGAGCCGAAGTAATTCGAGTCGGTTCTCCACAGTTTCCACTCATGTTTTCTACGTCTTCGTTGTGGTATCGAATCGAATCTCATAAACTGGATCATCCTACCCAGTGTTCTTTTACATAGGACAGTTTTCGACCGATTCTTGAAACAATTTTTCATCAGGGGACAATCAGGCTTATTCTTAAAGCAAACTATCATTGTGAAGAATCAGTAAGGAATCGCGCTTATGTCATGTTCTAACACAATTTCAAAAGCCATTTTCGATGTGCTCACTCTGTGTACGTCAAGCAGTTCTTTTAAAGTCATTCGCTGGTAACGTCGATCTGTACACTAGAGTGGATGAGAACAGTCCTTAGCTATGCTACATGACGATAGTCGTAGGGAACTGATTGTGGGGCAATAGCAAGCTTCACTGGTCTGTATTTTTCGAAAAAAAAATTACCAATACTTATAAGGAGCTTCATATTTCTACTTGTTAACAAATGCATAGGGTGCGGACAAGGCGATGCTCGGAGGCGGTATCAACAAGGTGATATCAGACTTCTTCAAAAGGACGAGAAGTATTCATTTGACATAAGTGGAAAATAATTTTCTCCAATTCTCTCTGTAATACGAGATATTGCGATTATCTTTTAAAGCTGTCGTGTTAAAAACAAGAGATAATTTCAATCAAGCAGCTATACCAATGCAGACATAAACAGCGAAGGTAAAGTGCAATAAATTCGTCGTTCCAGTCATCTATTAAGTAATCGGCTATTGTGATAAGTCTTCGCTTAGCGTCTAATACCATCTTTTCTTCAATCGCTCTAAATTCACGCCAAGTCGTCGCTCCAGTTGTCGCCTGATTTTCAAAGCGAAGACATCGTGATAACCATGCGAGGACGTCCTTTACTGATCGTCTTCATTGTGGTGGTTCTTCGCATGCCGACATGCTGTTGTGGAGTTAAGGTAAAAAGTGCCATTTTTCCTTAAATTTTTATAAGGTTTCTCTTAACATAAAAGAATAATACACTGCTTCGATGAATCCGTTGGAAACTATGCATTTAACTTCATAGAGCATCGTAGAGGTGATTTGATGAATGTTTGGTCTTTCCAGTAAATTGTGGAGGCCTACCGATTTTCATACCAGTGTTCTCTCAAACAAGTCCTTTACTAATTTTCAACTCAAGAAAAGTGTGTTTGCTGGCCTGCGACGAAAGCGAACTATAGTGAATCCAACGATCGAGTGGGGTAGAAAACTTTTTGTGAGCACTTTTTCTACGCGGACCATACAAACCATGGTGGCGTCTACTAATCTACACCCACGTTGACATATTGACTAACGCCATAAAGGCTAATGATCCGCAATCCATCATAAATAACTGTGAAAGTCCAAGCTTGTTTAGTGGCACCAGTGTATCTGCACGTACCAGTTGCCTCTTAGCTAAATGTCAAAAAATGTTTAAAAATCTATTGTTTTTTTCGTTCAACCCAGTCATCTCCTTTGAAAATTTTAGTGTTCTTTATAGTTCTAATTTTTATTCCTAGTACTTTTTTCACCGTGCAAACAATCTTGTTACCATATTAACTCTTTTATTTACTGCCTTTTTCTTCTTAATGGCAGGGTATGTTGTGAAATATAACTCGTATGAAGTGCTGAGATATTTGCAAAACTCCGGACCACAGGTGTATGCAGTGGGGAACGAACACGTGACCCGGATGGTGTAGTGGTGAAGTGCGCTGCTCCCCGGTAAGGACAACAGCGCGTGTTCGTTCCCCACTGCAAACACCTGTGGTCCGGAGTTTTGCAAATATCTCAGCACTTCATACGAATCTTATTACCATTCTCAAACGAGCTAGACAATGAATTCAGTTTCACACTGAAAGCAATTTTTCGCGATCTACGAACCAATCAAAATGATGCTGAAATAGAAGTGTGGGCTGCCCTCCAGATCAATCCCAGATTCATGCTCCCACAAAACATGAATCTATGCAATGACAAATTAGCGCATAAACGTACCTGAGGAGGCTCGACCTCACTTCAAAACGTAGCAGCGAAAAAGTGGGTAAGATTTTGCATGCTGAAAACACAGCACAAACCCAGCTTTGTTGATTATAGGATGACTAAGAGCAAAAGCAACAACTGCTGATTTAGGCCCCCCAGATCAATCCCGTTGATGGGTGATTACTGGTGGCAATGGTAGACAGAAAACTAGTTGAGAGAAACGCAGAGCAAAGCCCTCCGTGGCGCAGTGTGTAATGCACGAGCAGCGAGAAAGGGAAATCGTAGTTTGATCTAGTATAGGGTATAAGCTTTGCGAATATCTCAGCATCGTTGTGGTTGCTGAAATATTTGCAAAAGTCCGGGCCACAGGCGTCTGCTGTGAAAAATTGCAGTAGAAAGTAAATAAAAGTTGACTACAAATCAATGTTATTTATGCCATTAGAGACTTGCTTATGGTTTTTTTTTTACATATTTTTGCCTAATGTGGAGCCGTCATAAGGTGTATGAGAGTCAAATTTGGAAGTAGGTGTCGAAAAAAAGTGGAAAGCAAAACGATGTGGAATCGTTTACATCGATTTCTTTTATTACGGTCGACATAAGCTACAAAAAGGACTTGACACTGGAGGTGGAAAATTTCCTGGTGTTTGTAAGCCTAAAGAAATAAGTATATGAAACAAAGTGGTCGGCTTTGATCAATTTCTTAGGTACGCGCCACACACTTTGTTTTAGAAAGCACAGTATCGTCGAGGTGACTGAATACAAGTTTGGCCTACGCGGTGTTAAGACAGTATGTCCAGCCAATGTTGTCCCAAGAGGCAGGTTTGGCAGCAATCTTCATTGCCTTGGAAAGGCAACTGTCACCAGAACTCCAGTGACTCACCATTTTGTCGCGACTGGGTAAGGGTGATCCTGAGTATAGGACTACGGCGCAGAGTATGAGGCTCATCTCCTAGCAGTCGCTCATTCGTTAAATCGGTCTATATAAGTGTTCAGGTAAAATCTTATGTATTCTAATAGTGTCGCGGTTTGCGCATATTCAATTACAAACGTAGAAAATTTTTTTATATTGACAATAAAATTCTCACCTCCCAACAGTTTACCACCTCATCGTGGCTGGGAGGTATTCTTGGGTGTCGGACTGCGATGTACAGCAGGAGGATTCGTCTCCCCGGCATGGTTTCCCAAGCTGAGAAGAAATCCGCCGTTTCCATCAGGAAGCCTAGCTAAGAGTAAACCAATACGAGGATCCACCATCGTCCTGGTATCAAGGCCGTATGGTGGCAAATCCCCCTCTGATACACAAGGGCTCCAACTGCCTGTCGTGGTAACGACTTGGGGCAGACTTTGGCCAGGCTGTCTTCGGAATTCCAGGGAACCACAATGGCTTAACCAGAAAATCTCCGAAAAGTGGTGATTATACTGAGAGTCGCACAGCTATTGTGGATGGGTCGTTCAAGTATCAAGTAAGTAAGTAATCAAATTCTTAATGCTGTCATAGTTATTTCCGTACTGGAAAATATGGTGAGAAAATAAAAACTATGTAAAAAAATGATAATGGTGGAAAAAGTCGTACAATTTTAAAAGTAATTGATCTTTTATTTGTAAAGTCACACACGAAAACTGGGTCTAGACTTTATTTAGAATCGCAAAGATGCTGAGATATTTGCAGAACTCCGTACCTCAGGTCTCTGCTATGGAGAACGAACGCGCTATTGTTTTTTCCGTGGAGTAACGCGTTCACCACCACACCATGCGGGTCCTTCGTTTCGCCTGTCTCTCAGCTAGTTCTATCGATCAGTGCCATCAGCAATCACGCGTCAACGGGGTTGATCTGGTGAGCCCGCATCGGCATTGAACCCAGTTAGGCTGAAGCTGTAGTTGAAATCACAATGTTGACTTTTTATTTTCTGTCTACTACAATTTTCACGACAGGGTATTATGCGAAATCCAACAACAACAGTGTTAAGGTGTGTGTAAAACCCTGGTGTTTATTTAGAATGTTTAAAATCCATTGGCCTTATGTAGGTGTTAACAAGGCAGTTATTGTCGCGTTGCATGAGGTTGAAGTGGTGGAAACTTCATAGCTTCTCCTAATCTCAAGAGGTTTTTCGCTTAGCTGCATTTCTCTTGAAGAAAGTGCGTTCATTTCTAAGACGCTATGGGGATAAAAACATAGTTGGAAAAGCAGGGAACATCTAGAAGATTTTATGAAACTAAGCGTAAGAAAGTGACAGCGTGATCGAACAGCCCAATAGACAACCACATAAGCAATTAAAAGTATTGGTACTAATGATAAGTCATTCCTAGCAATCTTGTTCAAGAACAGCTTCATGCTATTAATGGTTGTTGTTTGACAATTAAATTGGTTAAAAATATCTGGCTTTGTTTAAAGATAAGGACGCTCGAAAATTATCCTTAATATCAAGGTCATTTATGGTAAAGCTTGACCTCTAGAATCTTGCTCAACTTTTGAGTAGAGTCCTTATAACCTAATTTCCCTACTGTTGGCAAGCAAACGCTCCAATTTTTTTCCCAAATCAGTCGTAATTTAACCTCGGTAGTAAAATAATCAACATGTGTACAAATTGTTGAGCTTACACGACATTGATAAATAGATTTATTCGGCTAACGTTTTCACGTTTTCGTCTTCATCAGAGACCATTGCTTAAATGATGGTCGATTTAAAAATTGTTTTGCCATTTGCTATGCGCTTGCTAACATAATAGCGACTGCTGGAGGGTGGATTATCTGTTTAGAAACAAATTATTATCAATGGATAGTCATATCGACAACAGCTGCCCTGTATTAAAGAGCACTTCTGAGTGAGCAGAACTAATTCTTGCGGTGTTCTATTGAAGAAGATCAGTCTCGGTGCGACTAGGGAGACGCCACATCGAGAAGACGAACAACTGTGGACCATTCACTCAGATCGCTGGCTCTGACGAAGACGAAGACGTTCAAACGTTAGCGTCAAATAAAACTAATTTATTAACATCGAGTAAGGTCAACAATTTAAACACATTTTATGTTTTATTGATAACATAAGACTAAGGAGAGGCTACGTTTAAAGGTGTCGCACAACACGCTCATGTGTAGCCGGTCATTTCACTTAGCCATCGTGGCTATCCAAGCGTCTCATTCCTGTAAGGCGATTCTCAAATGCATGTGATTTCCTCTGATGAAAACCTGAAAACTCTCTATTGGAGCTATTCCAGGATTCTAGAGCGGAACATTTTTCGACATTCACGAAGGGAAAACATATTGAAGTAATACTGAAACCAATACATATATCCAAAAACCTTCGTCGATGACAGATGGAAAGAGACGAATCGAATGAAAGAAATGCTGAGAGTCGTCTAATATGTAGAGTCGATTCATGTATCAGTTAGCTTGCCTCGTGCGTTGCCCTCATACTTTGGCCTGTCTCGGACTAAGTCTACGAGTTCAAAACCAGAAGCGTCCGCATAAAGGAAAACCAAGTCGGCAAACTTAAATTTAAAACAAATAGTTCACAAATAGTCTATAAGAGAGAAAGATATAACGGGATGATTTCGAAGTAGAAGTTAACATCCTGGCACAGGATTGGAAAACACCAGCGTGCAAAAACCTCGACTCATTCTGGATACCTTACAAAAATTCCAAAAATTCCACCCCGGAGGGTGGAATGCCTCGTAATCACGCGTGATATCACATAGCATTAAATAGTTATATTTTAGTGTTGAAAAGCACGCTACGCTTCTATGTGAATTCTGCGCGGTTGATCTCAACTTAACATACTCAGCGGAGCACTCGTGGAAAGCAGTAACTGTGCGACGAAGCGACGAATTTGTACTCAATACGATTGAAATCTTGGTTTAATACTTTTTCTGTTTTTTTACGAAGGTGTTTGACCGGGTAGACTGCAGTTAACTTCACCCTTCCAGGCTCTGGGAAAGGCGAAATCCGCTGAAACGTCGGCTTTTTCATAGGTAAGGAACGAAGTAGCAACCTCGTATTTAGCCATCAAGAAAGCAGTTAATCATTCTACACACTAAACTTTCCTTTTATCATAGTCTGATCTAGAAGCATTTAAAGTAGCCTATTTCGTGGATACGGGCACCGAAAGCACAGTGGCAATGCTGCCGATCATCACGAGTGCGGTGCTAGTTCGATTCCTCTTCAGGCCTGCAAATTCAAGTGGGAACGCTCCAACCCGACTACCTCAGGATTCAATGGATTATCGGCTCGACCAGCATTCTACGGCATTCAAGATGAAGAAAAATCTTCCAGCAGCAGTACACGTGGAAGATGGAAAGTCTTCGTGGATGATGGGTGGGAGGAAAGGAACAGGAAGGGAGAGCTGCTGGGATCCGCACAAGAGGTGTGAAAGACGGGTTGTGTAAAAAAAAACTTTCCATTGAGTAAAGTGCAAACAGCACGACGAAGTACAGTGAAATAGCAACCAACTGGGTTACTGTCTCAAATAAAACTGCTTTGGAATCTACCAATGACTTACGTTCGGACTTAGCAGATTGCTTCCTTCAGCTCATTTAAAGGGATTGCTAGGTTAATAGCAAGCATGTTGAGGCTTCTCCCACTAGTTTTTTGTACTGCTTCTGGATCCTAACCCTAATTTCCAGATTTTAAACATTTTTTTGTCATCTGCTCCACTCTGCTTTTTTGTCCTTGATAAGAATTCGTTGAATTCGTCGCTTATTTCCTTATCAGTAAGAAGTTCTGCAACGTGCGAACTCTAACGCGACTATAAGAGGGCTCCAGAACGAAAATATAAAGTGGGTGGATTATAGAGCTTTCCAACAGCATCTGAACGACCAGCAATAAATTAAAGTCGCAAAACTATTTTAATAATAGTTTATAAAAACCGTCTCTAGTATTGTCCGCACAGCATAAAAAGAGCAAGTTAATAGAGTGTAATGCTAAGGAGGCAAGCAGGGCAATACAAGCGATCTGTTCACCATGAGAACGGTACTGATTCGAGCTCATGCCGGGCTTGCCAAAACTGCTATGTATCACTACGGTGTCGGTAAATTGGCATCAACCTTGCTGTGCTAGTTGGCCGATGGATTAGGGAGCTGGTTGGATTTGTCTTTTGTCCGCCAACCACGAAATCTATGTATTCTAGACAAATTGGTGGCGATTTGAAGGATTTCTTTATCGCGTTAAGTGTGAACAAGAATAATGATATTTGATGGCCGTCCGCGTCTCATACCTGTAGTGGGACCTTTCGTGAAACGCGTTCTTGCACATTGTTTGAACCTAATGTGTTTAGCCGAATTTTTGTTTTATCGCCGGCGGATAGAGCTTTTGTGCAAGTTTCTCGTCGATAGAGGATAATTCGGCTCCCATATTCAGTGAGACGGAAACTTTTTAGAATTGTTTTGTGGTTGGGTTTATTATAGTCAAGCCCCCTGTGGGTGGGAAGGTTGACTGCAGTTTTATGCTAGATTTCGCCGAAATTTTGTCTTCGGCCGGTGTCTCTTGTGCGACGTGGTTCATTTTGAACAAAGAAGTGGGCTTTTTATGCTTTCTTTCTTTCTATTTACTAGCGTTGGTTTTGTTTTTGATGTTCGTATTCTTCGCAGGTGTTAGGAACGTCTTCTCCTTTGGTGTTGGAAAGAAGCGGCATGATGTATGGTGTAAGTTTCTCGCACTTACGTCATGACGACCCGTTGCACTGGACTGTGCTGTGGGATGGGGAGGCGCAAATATTGCACAGCTTATTATTTTGAAGGTACTGGTATCTTTTTTTAGGTGTTTCGTATTTACCACAATAGAAAAGCTTATGGTTGCCTTTACAATACATGCACAGGAGCTTTGTTGTCTGCAACTTCCAATGTTTAACTTTGTTGTCGAAGCTAACTGTATCTCGAGGGGGTGTTGAGCTGGTCTGACGACATATCAGTTCCTAGCTGGTTATAACCTCTTCGAAATATTTTAGAAGCTGCTGCATGGTGAAGGCTTCGTCAGAAGAAGTGATCTTTTTGTGAAGAGCTTTACGTTGGGTCGCGACCGGAAATTTCGCAAGCACCTTTTGATACGTGGACTAATTGCCGACATTTTCACCTTCTTGCACTAATTGGCCTATGATTGCTTCTATGTCTTCCAATAGTCTGTGTTGCTCTTCTATGGACGATGAGTGAAGGGAGATTTTGTCCATTTTTCTGAGGAGCTGGCGAATAAGTTCTTCAGAATTAACGTACTTATTAGCAAGAAATTCTATGGTTTTTGCGTAGTTTTGCCTAGTGAGTTGGAACTTTTTCATCGATTGTAGAGGTTTCCCTTTTAAGGAGTTAAGCAGGTAATTGAATTTTTGTAGCTCGGAAAGATTTTGTGGATGTACGTTTAAGTTGGAAAGCTTCCAAAAGTTATCCGAGTCCGTTGTGTCGCCGCTGAATGTTGGGATTGTGGGTAGCTCCAGATTTTTCGCGACAGCAGTGACGGTGGATTCATCTTTCTCGCTGTTCGTAGTGGAGGGTTTGTGGGAAGTGTTGAGAAGCTCAGCGTGAGCTTTGAAGCCATGGATCCGGGCATGAAGGAGTACGAGGTGTTCGAACGTATTGCCTATCGCTTCCTCGACACCACTCGAATATTGTGCGAACTCGTCTTCGATATTTGCTAGCGTCGGATGTGTCTTTTCGAATATGGTAGCGAGTTCTTCTAGTGCGTGTTGAATCTTTATGGTCATGTTTTCTAATGCTGCCACACCTTCTAACTGCTGTAGGCTTATGTGAATGACGATGAGCGTTATCTCATCTTGCAGGTTTTGAATACTGATTTCTTCGTACGGCGCATCTTTGAAGCGCGTTAGAACTTTTTGTAATTGGTTAGTATACCGCATAAGTATGCGCTTATGACTAGCCAGTGTTAAGTTGGACACTATTTTAAAGTTAACGTACTTGGTTGCGACTTGCTTGACCTGACGGATCTTTTCAAGCATCCAATTCACCAAAATACTTCTTGCGGCAGTGAGATCCCAACTTCATATGAATACCAAGTCGTTGTAAACATTAGTCCTTGTAGCTGCCACGCGGGACTTTTCCCGTACCTTTTCCGGACTTCCTTTTTCCGTACTCTTTCCGTTTGCAGCGCTTTAATGGCTGTGTGATCGTGTCAGTTCTAGTCACCGCTATTTCATGTTCTCCGTGAGTATCTTGCAATATTATGCAGGTGATTCCGTATTTCTTTGTATCTCCTTTGAAATCTCCAAATTTGTGAATTGCTAACTCAATTGAGTATACATCTTTTAATTGCAAGGTCTTGGCCAAATCGTTGGTAATAAATGATCGGTCGGCTGCCGTATCTAGTAGCACTTCCACTACCTCCTTTTTAGTTTTGTCTGGGTTGAGTACTACTGCCTGCGCCGCCCAAATCTGCACTTTGGATTCACATTGCTTTATAGTATGAAATGCAATGGAATGATCGCCTCGTGTCTCTTTGGAGGTCACTGTACTGACCGTGGGCGGGATCGTTCTCCTTCCTTTTGTTAGTTGTGTGGTTTTGGTTTTTCTCTTGGACCTGTTTCCTCGCTTCGCGGTTTAGGTTCGCTTGGTAGGTGTTAGTACCTACAAATGGAAGTATGGAGTCCGTTCTTGTTACAATTTCGGCACGGACCTCCTTTGCACTTGGGCAACCGGTGATATAAGGAACCGCAATTTTAGCAAAAGATTGCGATCTTTTATCACTTGTACTCTTTCCTGTTGAGTTTTTATCGTAGTGCAGTAGATTGGCAAGTGTCCTATCTTGTTACAGTAGAAACATGATTGCAGTTTCTTCATAAGTGCTCACTGATGGCTCGTAGTTACTAGTGAACTTTTAATCAAGGTATTGTTGCGGTGGTTTCTTGGAACTGGAGATATGCCTAGTTGGCTTTCTATTGTCAGTTCTTGAAATATGTAGTCGTTGATTACTTGAAAGAATTCCTCTGTTTCGGGTGTTTCGTTGTTTGGGCAATGCCGTGTTTCTCGTAGAGCAGGAGTTGTTGTTGGAGATACAGGTTATCAACTTGCTCTCCTTTATGACGTAGTTGGCAGACTATCGAGTGGAGAGTTTCACACAATATTTCTTGGTCTTCTAATCGCTCGCTGTTTGTTTGCGGTCTCTGTAGCCCGCTCAATAGTTGATTTATGAGGGTTTGCTTGCTGCCGTACTTGGCCTTTAGATGATCTATGACTATGGGATAGGATTCTCGTGTAATTTCGTATTGCTTAATGAAAGCTCTGGCCTTTCCATAAAGAGAGTTTAGTAGATAGTTTATTTTGAGATGGTCGTCCATCTGTCTTGAATGGACGGAGTGCTCGAATTCTCGCCAAAGTGCTTCCCATTACCATATAACTCCGCTGAAGTTGGGAATGGAAATGGGTGGAAGATTTGTCATCGGTGGAGCGGTATGTGAGTCATTTTGAGCGTTGTTTCTTGTGCTGTCCAGTTTATTCCTCAGCTCGACAAGCTTGGAGAGTCTTCTGCCTTATCGATGTGTTCTAGTGTTCTATTCACGTTTAGTTTTATACCTACCTTTAGTTCTTCTGTTATTGGAGTTTGCAGCTCGAAGTTGTCTGCCGCTTTGGTGTAATTGTCCAGTGCTCCCTCTAGACTGTCTCGATCCTTTCTAATGGCCGATGTTGCTTGTTTTACAGCGTCTTTCCGTGCAACGAGGTATTCCGTTCGTTGAGCTTCGTTGGGAGGAATGTCTACTGGAGAGTTTACCTCCTGGTCGTATTTGTTAAATGAAGATTTGAGGCAATTAATGGCTTTTGTTAGTAAGCCCAAGCGAGAAAAAAGAGTGTTCGACATTTTTTTTCCTTTCTTAGTTTTGATATATGGCAAATAAACGTACTTGCACGTAGACTTCTCTTCGCAAGGTTGTCCGAGCGATTGCTTAATTCTTTCAGCGATGCTCGCTCGCTTGAAGTAGAGATGGCAGATACAGTAGAATATCAGAATAGGAGAATATTGAGTAGGATAGTCAGTAGATTGGCTTAGTGAAAGCGCCGAGTCTTGGGTTGAGTTGAACGTAGAGTTGCGTTGAGCGCAGAGTTCTACTCGGTTGTGCCAATGCACCAATTTGTGTTAGTTGGCGCAAGAGATTGGCCGAGTAGTAGCGTTGAGTTCAATTCGAGTGGACCAATGCACCAATTTGTGTTGGTTGGTCAGCGGATTAGGGAGTTCGTCGGCTTTGTCTTTTGTCCGCCAATTGTACGTGGAATGCTCGACTTTCTATGAATTCGCCACTCGAAACTTTTTTTCGTAACTGCCGTGGACAACCTCGAGTTTGGTTTATAACAGTTTCTAGCAATGACAACAGTACAACAATAATATGTAATATGTGACGATGTGTGGTTAACTGGATATATACAAGCGAGATTGAAATGAGAACAAGTGATGCAACTGAAGGAAGCTAGGCGGACACTAGAGCTGGAGCACTGAAGAACCGAGGGACTGGGTGAAGACCGAACGAACGCTGCGAGCACTTGAAGGCGATTGCTCATGGGCTGCCTGTATTACTTCTGTAGTGGGTGGAGCTTTGCCAGTAGGAACTAAAGACAGTGCTGACCCAGAGTATGACAGGGTACACGCGGATAAGTACATCAAATGAGGGTATGCGAGAGGCTTTTATCGAAACTACATGTTGAAGCCGTATAAAAACTTATAAATTATGCCACGACCGACTTTTTATTAACCTCGGCATTGATCAAGTGATTCTCCTCGCACTTTTGCTGAGCAAACGCGAGGTGTTACCATTCTTTGTTCACGATTAAGCTGACGTTTCGGCGGATTTCGCCTTCTTCAGAGCCGCTTTCTGTGAGGTTTCCACTAAGTATGTCACGTAGAGACCAACCGCACAGAAATCACGTGGAAGTATAATGTAAATTACAAAATATAAATTATAAATTATTATAAATTATTATTATTATATTAATTATTATAAATTATGTATGGATAGATTTAAGATAGTTATAAGCAAATAGTTAGTATGGAACACATGTGATATTGTAGTGAATAGGAACTATTCAAGGAATACTTCCAAACCGACCTTCCCTAAACCTCGGTGTGATTAATCAATATGTATTCTTTCTTGATAAGCTTACACGAGGTTGATA